ACAAACTGGCAATGCCAGCCGTCCAACACTTCCCCCAAACTTTCTAGGAAGGACCAGATGATTTCTCAGGTCCTCTCTTTCTCTGTACCTCAGGCAGTGTTGGAGGGCTGAGCAGATACGTCAGTGGCACATAGAGCTAGTACACAAGGCGGTTCACATCGGCACCAGGTAGCATGCAGCGTAATGAGAGTCCACAGTGTCCTGGAATCATTGACAACATACAAAGAACACAAATATGCAGGAAGGGTTCAGAATGCAAGAGGCCCTGTGAAAGAGCCACGCACACATGGATAAGAATCCTGAGGTGATGGAGAACATGCCCTGCATGACATGCCGCAAGTGGCTCCCCTTCAGCATCCTTGGGGACTGACCCTGACATAAGCGTGAAAAGGGGCACATGGGAGAGATTCCAACCGCGGGGGCTGGTAATGGAGGGGCCCGGCAGGCGAGACAGGGTAAGGCCACGGTCTCAACCTGGCACCCCTCTCCCACGGCTCTGACTTGCCTAGAAAATGGTGTTATTTGCATTAAATTTCACAAACTCAGTGTGTAGCAATTACAGGATACATTCTTCTGTTTCAGTGTCTGTGACCATTTGCTTGGTCTCTAGGGCAGGGACCACATCAGGCTGGTGTCTTATTCCCTACCAGCTCTGGTTGTTGATTGACACCAGGAAACTGCCTAGCAATTGTTAGTTAGCAAGCCATTAGACAATTGAATTCTTGCAACAAGAGATGGGATGTGTCATATACATGCACCATCTGCCTATGTTGAATATAATCATTGTGCATGGCAAACGTGTACTAATAAAAATTAAAGTAATTAAGTAGTTGAATCCTTGCTTTTTGCAATGCCCTGTGCTTTGGTATGGAAGCCTGAGCCAGTTTGCCCAGCCTCACTGCAGACCTGCTTGGCACCCTGCTGTGGAAGCTGCTCTTCCTGCTTCCTTGCTCTGTGCTCTCTGCTCTCGGCAGCTTGGAACAGAGCAGTGGTGCTGGCCACCATGACGCTGCAGCCCGAGGACATTCGGCAGAGTTGCTCTCCTTTGTCACGAATGGCAGTGGAGAGGGATAGCTCCACACCGCTGGTGATAGCTTAGTGGACACACCCCAGTGCGTAGGGCAGCTCTGATAACAAAGAATTGCCCAGCCCAGAGTGTCCATAGTGCAGCAAGCCTTGGCGTAAAGCAGTGCCATGCTCTCAGAGTTCTTTGGCCCACCCCAGTCGTGTATTTATCAGCTTTACAACGGCTAAGAGCATGTGCACACACAGAAGCATAACCACAACATCAAAGGATCCAAGGTTAGAGATTCGCCAAGCATTTCCCAGAACCACTGCTGCCTCAGAAAAGTCCTTGGAATAAGGATTTTCTATTTGTTTGTTTTTTGCTCCTAATGCCTTCAGGGCAGATTTAGCTGGCTTGAGTTGTGGGGATTAAACCACAGCAACCTGAGCCTGACTGCTTTGTTGAAGCAGCCACTTAAAGAACTGAGCTACCGGGCAGGCCATTTCTGACACTGCCAGTGAATCGGAAGACCCAATACTATTATGGACCTCTGAGCTCTTTTAGAATATTTTGCTGAGTTTACACACCTATAATATTTAAATGATGGAACTAAACAGAAAAAGGGGATACAGATGAATGTCCATTTTATATCTGTGTATTCAAAGTGGTTAGGATAGATATATAGTTACATTCTCTTAACGAATAGAGGGATTTTTTCTAATGGTGTTTGTAAATAGGATATCATGTCTGCGTCTTGTACAGCAATTAACCACCAGGAAGAATGTATGCAGTGTGTTAATTATTGAAACTGCTACCAATTTGGTTTGTAACTGTCTCATTGCTATTTGTTTCTCAATAAAATTATGGAAGAAAAAAAAAAAAGAAAAGTCCTTGGGATTTCAAGATGCTACTCAGAGCCTAAGCTGTTTATTTTATGACCCACTACTAAGATACGACAGAGTGTGAAAATGCTGCTACAGAGAAGCTCGGGGACACTAGGGTCAAAGAAGAGCGGGCTTGACTGTCAGGCCCCCACAGCACAGAGTTGCTGCAGTATCAATCCTCACGACCCTTTGGAACAGCAAAGGTCCTTGCGATTAAATGAGGGTGAAAAGAGAGAAGCTGCCAGTCACACCGAGGCTAGCTACAGTCCTCGCGACTCGGGTTACTTCCCTTACCATTTAGTGGAGCAATTACCCCTTGGCTAACGTAGAAAGTAAAATGCAAGTCAACAGTGGAAAGACACCGGGAAACTGCTCGGCAGCTGCTAGCTAGGAAGCTGGTAGACCAGCAGAGAGACTGCAGGATGCGGTTGTGTCCGGGGAGGACTAAGAAGCCCCTAAACACTTGAGAACAAGTGAGCCCTGGGCCAGCGAGCTGCAGAGGGACCTATAGGCTCGGGCCTCCTCCTCCCTGTCAGAGATGTCCTCTGCTTTTCAAAGCTCCTTCCAGGCTCCCAGGTCTGGGCACCAGATGGGGCCTGTGCTGTGTGTTTATAATCTCAAAATAAAGGAATCTGGTATTGTGAGCCACGTGTGGTGCTCCTTCAGGACAGTGGACACAGGCGAGTGAGAATTTGGTGCAAGGAAGTGTTAGGGGATTGCCTAACCCTTCCAGGAAGAGGAAGATATTCCTCTGTGTTGTTGGACCCTTGACTATAATCCTGACGCATATTTTGTCCTATGTATTAATGTGTTCACTCGCTCGCTTTCAGGGACGCCAAGAGACTGCGAATATGGCGGGGAAGCCGGTGCTGTACTACTTCAACGCCCGGGGCAGGATGGAGTCCATCCGGTGGCTGTTGGCTGCCGCCGGGGTGGAGGTGGGTTTCCAGTTCTCGCGTTGGACCTAAAATGCACTTTACCAAAATATTTTTCTAAGCCAGAAGAATGCTTCCCTCAAAAACTTTTACAAATTTTTTTCCAGAAATAAAAATATCCTTATTTTAAAAACAATTTGACCATGTACAATCATAATTATCTTTCCAGCAAAAAATACACAAACAGTTAAATATATTTTTAAAGGCGCAAAAGAAACCTGAAATAGTCAGAAGGTATAGAATTTATTTTGGGGCTGGGGAAAATAGCTCAGTTGAATAAGTGCTTGCGTGGCAAGGGCAAGGGCCTGAGTTCAATCCCC